CCTCATACACACACACTGATCAGTATTTTGCTCAATACTCGAGAGATCCCTCTGCATAACTCCAGAATTCTTTTTCTGTGCACTTCTTTTCTGTCTAGTATTCTGCTTTGTGAATTCTTATCACCTCAGTTTTCTTGGATTCTCAGCTCCATCCCCTTAATCAAGGAGTCCACAAGTCTCTGCCTGTGTCTCTCCCACCCTTACACCATAGCCTGGAAACTGTCTCAAGGCAGTAAGCTGGGAAGTCACAGGGCTTACTTCATTTATTTCCCATCTCTTGGAGATCACTGCCCATCAATGCCTGATGTCCAATGTCTTGAGAACTGTTGTTTTATATATTTTGTCTATTTTTTCAGTTCTTTCAGGTGGAAGGTTAAATTGATCCCTGTTACTCCATCTTAGTAAGAAATCAATAATGTTCTTTAGATCTGTTTTGTTTTGATTCAGGATCCAATCAGAGATCAGGTATCCCATGTTATGTCTTTGTTTCCTTTAGTCTAAAGCATTTCCCTACTTCTTTTTGGTCTTTTATGACAGTGCACTTTTGAAGAGTCTAAGACATTTGTCTTGTAAGTTCTCCCACAATCTGGATTTGTCTGTTTCCTCCTGATTAGATCAAGGTTAAATATTTTTGGTAAGAATACTACATAGGCAATGTATCCTTCCTACCTCATGACTTTAAGTGGCCTATAAAGCTAAGTTTGATCACTTGATTAAGGTAGTATCTTACAGATCTCTCCATTGTAAAGTTATTTTTTCCCCTTGGTAATTAATAAATAGTTTGTGGGGTGACACTTTGAGATCAGTTAAGATTCTACTGTCAAACACCTTTTCACCCAACTGTGCATCAATGATAATCCTTGTGTGAATGAATTATTATATTGGTGGTTGCAAAATGGCATTTTTCTAATTCTGTCATTCCTTTTACATTTACTAGCTGGCACTATTCTGTTAAAGAAGAACTCCCCACTCTTTTATCTTTGATTATCATTATGAAGAAATGTATCCTTCACATTATGTTGTACCTTCTTATCATCGTTATTCTTTTGAATGCTCAAATTGCCCAGATTTGGCCTGTGTGATCTCTGTTATTGTTTAACCACATAATGCAGGTTTAAACTAAGCTTTTTTTTTTTTATGTCCAGAGTAATTTCTAATACTTACCACAGCCAACAAGAATTGAGAAAGGGACTCTAGAATAGGGTCTTATTCAGACTCTTCTTAGAAGTCTGCCTTCTCCCTGTGCACTCTCATCCCAAAGTGAGACTTGTGGGATGGGAGGAGATACTTCTGAATTAAACTTTAGATCAGTGTCATCTAATTCTGATCCCTATCACTTTTATTCTCAGTGTTCTATGTCCACTGTCCTACTTACCTTTCTGCGGGGCACCTCTTG